GGGGTTGTCAGTTCATATGGTGTTTGTTAACTTTCTGAGAATCTGCCTATAAACAGACGTCTATAGCAACATTATTTATGGTGATAAAATAGTGAAACTATCCAAGGTCCATTAGCATTGACTGCTCTGATTGAATTTTTGTTTTTAGACTGTGATCAGGGGTTCTCAGTTTTTCCTCCCCCTTCCTGCCCTTATTGCTCTGGTTTAACTAGACTTAGAGGGCTTTGTGAAGATATATACATACAAACAAACATTATCTATCAGTAGAAAAAAGTCAAGAATTGATACTTGCTATAAGCTGACTGTATCTTGAAAACATGGTAAGTCCAAGATGCCAATCACGATGGATTGCACAGTGTATAAATCCATCCATAAAGTATGTCTAGAAGGCAGATACATAGGGAATCAGAAGTTAGAGAAAGATGCAGAGTAACTGATAATGGACATGGGGCTTTAGAGGTACTGCAAAGGCAGTGGCCGCTTGCACTCTTTGTAAATATGGTAAAATATTAAAACATGTATTTCTAAATGAGTAGATTGTGTGCTGTGTAAAATAAATGCCAAAAAAGCTATTTTTTAAAAAATCTAACTTGCTTTCCAACATAACTGCCCCATTATATATTCCCACCAGCAATGTATTCAAATTATGTTTGTTCCATATCTCTTTGGCACTTGCTATTGTCAGTAATTTTTATCTGTCTGTCTTTCATCTGTCTGTTTGTCTATCTGTCCATCTGTCTATATCTATGCTAGGGAGTGAGCATGTGAGGCATTACTGTCCTACCAGGCCCCCCTGGCTCTGTGTGAGTGATCTCCTGGCTGGGTGGTGCCACCTGTGCTAATATCTCTTCCACAGGTGCCAGGGACGCTGGCACCTTTCATGCACCTGTTTGCCTTCTTTGTAAGCAGTCTGTTCGGGTGTTTTGCTCACTTTTAAACCAAATTGATTTTCTTGGCTTGAGTGAAATCCTTTAAATATTCTGGATATAGGTACCTTGTCATATATGGGTTTGAAATACTTTCATAGTCTCAGAATGCACTCATCTTCGCTCTTTTGTTGGAAGACGTTTGTTGGTCACCTGCAGGGTTCATCTGTTGACGTAGTGTGTGCTCAGGGAGAAACTTGGCGTTTAAAGACTACGTGGGTAAATGTCTTCTTTTGCCATGCAGCAACAGATTTTTTTTTTCCTGACAGGCAACATGTAAATGTAAACCCTCTTTCTGTCTCAGAGGGATTAGCAATCTCTGTGGAGTTTACAGAGCTGCTGTGATGCAGGCTGACTTTTGGGCGAGTCTCCTTCTGCTCCTAGTTTTCTACTCCCCCTTTTGACCCACGTTTCCTGACTCACGTCTTGAGCTGAAGAATCCCTGCATACGTTTGTTCTGTGTCCTGAGTATGCATGAAGAAGCCGCTTTGTTCCTTATCTTTTGAGTGTCACATCAGTGCTACAAACTCTGCCCTCTTCCCCAAACGAGGTTGGTGACTCCGTTTTATGCTCTTGTACCATTCCTGTGTTTTTGCCTCAGAGAGCTTGAGTTGTTTATCCTTACTTTAGTGTTTTTCTCTTTGCCTCATTGTAAGTCGTTGACTTCCAAATATTTTTCTTCATGTATTCCCAGAAAGAATTTTGAAACAACTAGATAACCTCCCTCACTTGAACAGGTTATAATTTCTAGCATGCTGTAAAACTTAATGTGTTATGGCGCAACTTGCTCACCCCTCTTCAGAATATACCCTGTGGTCTTTGATGCTGCACTTGGTCACCTCTGCTGTGCATCAGGACTGGCTCTGACAGCCCTTTCCCGTTTCAGGGCCACAACCTTGCTTTTCCCTGATGAATTTGAACTTCTGCTCCAGATCTCATCTATGTTTGTGCTGACTTGGCACTGGTCATCCTACCAGGGGTTCTGTGCAGCAAAGATGGGCTTGTGAACAGAAATGAAAGCCTGGCCGACATTTATTTGGTCAGTGTTGGGATCAAAACCAGGTCCCCCCACATGCTAGCGAATATGAGACTTAAAGTGTTCCAGTGGTGACCAGCAGTCTTTCAGTGCTCTGTGTTGTTTCCTCTGTAGTTATTATTGACATGTGAATCAGAACAAGCGTGTGGGTTTCACTGGAGAGGCCTCTCAAGGTCAGGGACAGGCTCCCTTCGTCTTTGTGACTGGCTGCGCACAAGCTGATGACAGCACACTTTTCTGGAGTGTCAACATTTACAACCAGTTTCATTCTTAGCTTCCATGATTTGTGGAAAGGAAAAGAAGACAATGGAATCTCACAGAATTATGAACCCAAACTGTCAGATAACAACTCATATTTTCCATTCAGTTTGTTGAATGGGAAAAAAAATGGGAGTCTCTGAATTGTGCAGTTTGGTTGGCCAGTCTTTAGAGCCTTTTCTTCCTCAGCTTTTACCTGCTGCTGGATGTCCCTTTGTTGGAAGAACTGGTTTGATCCAGTACAGTGCTATCCAAGACTGGTAAGATCTGCCTTTGTCTCCAGTGGGAGCCCAGCTGATGTCCAGCCTGCAGGAAAGGAACCCAGTGGGGCACTGTGGGAAAGGGAATGGAGGGAAAGAAGGTAGCTGCAACTGTGGTTCCTAGTTGTGTCAGGAACACGCCAGTGTCTCCTCCAGGGATGCCCAGCCTCTGCCATAGGAACTGCAGCTGAGGCCTGTGCCAGGCAAAGCTGAGCACAGTTTGTTTTCTTTTGCTTTGTTTTTATACCTGTTTCCACAACTCAAGGTGTGGACCTCAGTAAAAATAAATAAACAAATAAATAAAAATTAAAAAAATCATTGATACCGAGTATAGGAAAAACTTTCGTTGTATAATTAGATTTCAAAGTCATAAACTTTTTCAGTTTTCTTTGAAAAGATGTTGAAGAGACAGTAGGATTTTATACTTTTATTTCTGATAGTCTTTATGCTGTGAGTTAATTTTCAAGAGCAAAAATATTCTTTACTGCAGCGTTTTTATTGACTCAGGAGCCATATCCTAACTATCTGTTCCCTACTTTGCTTCAGGTAGCTTGTTGTATTTCAGTAACAGAATTCTTTTCAAATGTTCTGCTCAGGCAACATTTACGTATCTTTGATGCTTTTATCGTAATACTGTTTTCACACAATTAGGAAGTACTGCTGGCATTTCTTCTCTCTCACCTGTGCTGCTTTTGAGGCGTCTGATAGGTGGATGGCTTAGGGGTGTTTCATGTCATGGGGCTCTGTGTGTGTGTGTGTGTGTGTGTGTGTGTGTGTGTGTGTGTGTGTCACATTAAGTATGTGCTACTACAGTAAGAGATCTGGCTGCCAACTGCAGCTTCCCCGCCTGCAAACATGGGACTCTGGTGCTGAGTAATACCTTGGATGTCTCTGTTTTGCTCTAGAAAATCTAACACAGATTTCGATTGCCTTTTAAAAAGCTACCCTTCCCCAGGAAACCTTATCTTTACTTTGGCATCTGGTTTTCTGTGAAGTCATCATTTTAGATCAGAATTTCCAGCTGTGGCATCTAGTTTTATGGAGCCTGGACTAAGAATGAAAAACTTGGCTACGTGTTTCAGTGTGTAAAATGAGTGTTATCTGTGTGTGTGTGAAACAGTGCGGTGGTTGTGGCTAACGATTTTAGTTTGCAGGGTTATTTTCTGATGTGCTCTAAGAGAAGCAGCCTGCGCGACAACGGCCAGCTCAGAGGAATGGGCTAGGTTTGCCTTCTTCCAGTGTCCCTTGACATAATGTGCTGTGCGCACCCCCACAAGGGAGAACTGCTGACAGCCTACAGTAACTCCCTCACCTCCCAAATGAGGAAACTGAGGCCTTGACTTTGTCCCCTGTGAGAAATGGTCACTAACTGGAAGTGAAAGGAGTCAGAGTTAATCCTATTAGGGGACATCACATGCCCTGCTGTGACAGTGCAGAGGCCCTGTGCAGAGAAATCCCCCACCCATACCCCCATGACAGCCCTGCTCAGAGGTTGCCTGTGCCTAGAACTAGGAGGGCTGGGAAACCAGTGGAACAGGAGACAGTTTGGAAGAACCTCTCAGGATTTAAAAATGTTTTCACTCTCTACTCTCTAAATCAGCTCTTCAATTTTTATTCTAATGAATTACAAAATCAGTGGTTTGGAATACAAGAATGCCTTGGTGTAGCAAATTGGTGCTCGTTACAGCAGAATTTGTCTTGCAGAACTAGATACCTGTTTGTCTAGCAATGGAGACATGGCTCCATCGTGGTCTTTGTAAGAGTGGGATGTTATGTTGCTTTTAGAAGTTTGAAGAAGTTTTTGGTGCTAAGTGAAATAAGTGGGGTATAGACTATGATTTCATTCACGTAGAGAGTGTAGATGTACAAATTGTAGTATAGAGTTTATTTCAGAGTGCTGTCACTATGGGTTGATTTTACTTCCTAATTCTGCATAGTTCATAAACTGTCTACCATCAGCAGAAAATAAGGCCATAAAATTTTAATGCAACCAAATAGACAATTTTTATAATATAAGGTTATAAAGTCACTGTAGAGTCTCACTGAAGGTAGGCTCCTAGACACAGCAAACATGAAGATGATGCTTGGCTATCTCTCACACAGCTGCCTGGCCTCCACCCCATGCTATGGACCCACCGATGGGAGATGGCACCCATCCACACCAGGAACAGTAAGGTGAAGCCCACAGGGCACCGTCTTAATCAGCAGTCATTTTATTTGACCAAAAACAAAAGAGTCTATAAATTTGAAAAGCTGTTCTCCGGTATTGAAAGAACATTGCTTTAGTATTTGAGAGTGCCTACTAGTTAGCTCTATTGACTGGGAGGTGACATTCTGTCACTTTCAATTCTTTGCCTGGTGACTGGAAATTTTCATAAATTGGCTTCCCAGAACATTCTTTTATATGGGTGACTTGACCTAATTTCTCTTACCTGGTTCTGGTTTAATGATTAAGCTGAGTTAGCCATTAAGTAACCAGTGGCTCTGTAGAAGACAGTGAGTGAATACCTGGAGTCTGAAAACGTACCTTCCATCAGCCCAGGCGGAGTCTGTGTCCTCAGAGTATAGCACTGGTCAAGCAGCTGTGCCAGTTAAGCTGTTTTTCTAAAAGGTAAGCTTTCCTAGAGCGCACTGGGGTTTTTTTCACTCTTAGGATTCTTTGGAAAAAAAAAAATGTAAAAATATTTTGAAGCCCTCAATTCCACTTTATAATTTGGAATCAATAACTTCTTGCTACTGTAATTTCATCCGTTTTATACTACCCCCAGGAAAAAGCATTTACCTCCTTCACGTTTCTTATAGTGATTTCAGTTGGTCTCATTTTGCATTGCAATTATGGCTTTCCATTCCATGAGGTATGGCTTAGAGTTGTGTTTCAAATTTGAAATGGCTCGTGCATTAATGAAGCTACTGTTTTTCATTTGGAAGAAATGCTCTCTTAGGGAAAGTTGTTAAGGCCTGGGATGCAGCTTTAAAATGTTTGTCTTGTGATAGTTGCAAGTCATTATTCCCCAAAGAAAAAGTGGCACCTTTAGACCCTCGCATGCCTGTTGGGCCAATTGTATTTGATTTCTGTGCAGTCACAAGGGGCTACAGAGCAGAAGGGACAGTGCTGTGTGGATGAGGCTTCTAGCCAAGGCCTTGGGACAAAGGTGATGTCTTACTTGAAGGAAAATCCAAGTCGGCTCAGTGCCCAGTCAGCCTCTTTCCACATCCTCTCCCTCTGCATCTCATAGAAAATCTAGGTGTTTCCTTAAAACTCAAGCTGTTCCTACTTGCCTAATTTTGGGGTTGTGAATGTATGCCCATGTGGATATAAACTGGGTTTATGGCACTCGTTAAACATCATGACTTCCTGTATTAGCTGATAACTCTGTTCTGATAGTGAATTGTTGTTGTTTGGGTTTTTTTTTTTTTTTTGGCTTTTTTCCCCCCTGACAACTGTTTCTTTGAAAAACTTATAAGATGGAACAATAGTGTAGGCAGTCCAAATCAGGTACTTACTTTACTATCTACTTAATGAATATTTATGAAACTTTGTGGAGTGTGAGGCAGTCTTTCCTGACAATTGGAGGTACACCAGAGACGTTAACATTATTGGTCTAATGACACAATACTATTTTGCAAAAGTAAAACATCAATATTGAAAATTTGCTTCTTTTTGTTAAGAGTTCTTTCCACCGGGGGAATAAAAAACAATAACAAACACTTTCAAATTTAGAATAGACGTAAATTAATTTCAGAATTTCTGGTTCCAGTATGCACCAAGAATTCTCCTTTCTAGAAAAGAATTATTCTCTTTATTTCTTCATTAGTATTTGTAAGACTCATCTGAACTTTTTCTTTTAGTGCATAAGAAAGCACATTTGTGTGTAGTAATTAGTGGTCTTCTCTTTGATAGCGCTGGCAGCCTTCATATGTAAACATCTGTGAGTCCATCTGTCTGGCCCAAAGCCTGACCTCTCCTTAATGTTCTCATGCTTAGATGATAAAGTTGATATTGGTAAAATAATAATAATACAGACCTCATCCCAGGTTGAGGTTTGATGCATCTCAAGATGAGGGAGGGGTGTTGGAGGACCACACTGGAGCTTACAGCTTTTCTTTGAAGCTGGCACTGCATAATAGGCAGTGCAGGCAGAGTGGGCAAGTGCTCTGCAGCCGCACCAACTGGATTTCCACCCAGTTCTGGTACTTAGTTGCTAAGTGCATCAAACACAGCATTGAGCCTCCTGAGCTTGGCTCCCTGTATGTGAGACAGAGATCATGAGTCTCCTCATGTGCTGTAACAACATCTAAGGTCACTATCAGAAGCAAGGACCACATGAAACTATGGCCAGAGCTCAGTGTTCCATGAGTACAAGGGATATATTTGGTATTAATTGTAGAATAGTAAAGCCATTGTTGTGCCTGTCATTCCAGGGCCTGGTTAGTCAATGCCAATTAAATTGAACGATTATTTCTTCTTCTAGTGTTTCTTTTTTCTTCTCACTCATAAGCATGTTACAAATACATTAGCAACTGGAATGTGTGCTCCTCCTAATAGGTGTACAGTGTTTCTGGGAGTTCAGCTTGAGCTCTGAGAAGGAAATCAGGTTCCGCTATATGGGCAGAGTAAAGGCTCTCTCTCATTGTTTCTTCCTGCCTGGCTCTGAGCTGGGCATTGCCCCCTCTAATGCCTATCTAGTACCTCAATTTTGAACCTTTGTTCTCAGAAGGTACTCTGGTTGAGACACTGATTTTATAGAATTTAATTCTATGAAAAATATAAAGAAGCCTGTGATCTTGTTCTGGGTGGACTTGGGGAATCTACTTAGTACAGGCTACTTGGCAGTCTAAAGGGTTCTTCTGCCTCCTCAATGGCTGTGAAATCACCGCTTAATCCAGCTACTTGAGACATCTCTTCTTTTTTGCATCCCAAGTTTTTAAAACTTACAACATTTTAGTCTCTTACATGACACTGCGGCAAACTGTGACAGTAATTTCTGTTACCCCCTGCTCCCAGGCTCTGGTGCAGTGGTTCCTTAGCAAGGACAGGGTTAGGGATCAAGTGTACCTTTCTACCCATAGGTAAATCGGGCAGCCTGATGAGTCAGCTTAGGAAGGGTGTGCAGAAGCTGTTAGGTTAAAAATGGGTGACACAAGTATCCTAGGCCTCAGCTCTTCCTCTTTAAAGGAAGGTCTGAGCAAGCCCAGTGCGGGTGGAGGAATGCCGGCATGGAACAGGAAGAGGACTGACAGATGAGACTGCAAAAACAGTAGGCAGGCACTCTAGTAAAGGTCTGAGCCTGGGGCTGGCACATGAGCCAGGCAGTGATGGAGGAACTGTAGAGCTGAGCGGCCAGGTGCCTGTAGCACTATCGTAGGAGTCAGTGATCAGATTTGAGGCCTGAGCCTGAGCGGGCAGCAGTAGCCTCACAGCCTAGACAGGATGACAGGAACTCCAGAGGCAAGGTTGCACGGGGTGCAAGGCAGATGAGGATGTGAGAATCCCAGAGAGAAGGAAGAGGGATGAGGATGCAGATCCCAGCAAGAGGTCTAAGGGCGGGAGAGCCCCTGTAGTTTGGGGTAAAGACTGTTTTATATATGTGCCTCTTCCCTCTCTTGCCTCACTCACTACCTTGTTGCTGTTTAAGAAGTCAGAACTTTTCTCTGTTCATAGGAGAAATCCTCCGGACTCTTGGTGCTTCCCAGTTTCAGTGGAAGATAATAGATTGTTTGTTCTTTATTTTAGGAATATAGAGAAAAGTGTGTGTGTGTCGGGGGGGGGGGGGGATCTTGATTTTGCAATTGTATATAGTAAAAAATTTTAAAGGACGATCCATGCTGAGGAATGTGGTGTAGCCACAGGAGCCTTGTTCTGTGCTAATTACCACTGTTCCTGTTGGTCTTCCCAGCACTTGACAGGCGCAGCTCTTCAGTGCAGGCCCAGACTGGAGCCAGTGTTCCACAGGGCTCTGCCATTCACTTTGAATTCTCATGTGCACTCTTGAGACCCACTTTTTGTGTGGGTCATGTCACCCTTAGAAAATACTATCCTTGCATCACTTTTGTGTGACCTTCCCAAGTCACACTGTACTTGTTGGGTACTTTTCTAGTCCCTTTGCATCTCACCCTCTGTAAGGTACATGCTGTTATTGCCCCCTTCTACAGATGAGGAAGCTGAGGCAAAAGTAGGCTAAGTATTGGGAATGTCCATGTACTCCATTAGTGTCAGTGCTATCTTGGATACAGAACCTGGCCCCAGAACTCCCCCTCAGCCTCATTCTTATACTGTCTGCGGTTCTCAGCTCTGGTGAAGCTGTCACCCAAGAGCTTATGGACATGGCCTTGCGGACACCAGCCATCTTCCTTTCCCTGCTTCAAGGTCAATGGCCACTGCCTCCTTGTTTTCCAGCCCACTGGTACAGTTCCTTTCTCTGCCCTGATGGCACATGTGAGGCTCCTGATGGCCTTTTGCAGCTAAGGACTACAGCTTATCCAGCCTGGTGGCTCTAGTCCTGTAGGGTAGGCACTGTGAACACAGGAACTTACCCCCTACTTGCGTATTCCAGCACAGGACCTACAGCGTTTCCACCCAGCATGGTATATGCTTTGTGACATCTTTGGAGGATTCCACATGTTGTTAGTTTGTATTTGGAGCTCCCAGAGGCCTGAAAGTAGTATGGAGGATTAATTGGATAGGTCTTGATTTGAATTCCATCGCTAGTCTCTCTAAGCCTGTTTCCCTACCTGTGAATGGTGTCCATGTCTGAGCATCACTGAAGAGTGAAGGAGGTGTGAATGTGTGAAGTGTGCTTTGTGGCAGGCAGGCAGAAGGGCTAGGTCCTTCAACTGTAAACAAGCATGACACTCATAAGACTGGCTGTGAAGAGCCACCTGAGTAGGCTGTGATTTTCAGTCAAATGCAAAAGCCTTGGGCTGTTTGGAGCTGGACTAGATGTTAGGGATCTGGGAATGTAACCCCTGTGTTCATGAGCAAGGGTTTAAGCTTAGCAGTGATAAGACTTAAGGGTCCAGAGGCATTCTGTAAAGTATTCATTCTGTACCATATGCAAATAGGCAGTTAAATACTTGCTTAGTTAGGTGTAATAGCACCAGCCTGTAGTCCCAGCTCTCTGCTGAGGCAGGAGACTTGCTTGAGCCTGGCGTAGACCTGTCTCAAAAAACAAAAACAAGCAAAATACCATCCTTGCTCCTACACTGACAGCTGGTTTCCACTCCCTAACCTGTGTGGTGTTGGTCACCCAGGACATACTCCTCTGAAGAACCTCCCCTGAGCCAAGGATATGGTTATATTGACTTATAACTGTGACCACTGTATGATAGGGGCTCAGGAGAGGCCAGGGAGGAAGCACACCGACCCTGCTGTCTTCAGGAGAGGAAGAAGTAGACATGCACAAGCCACTGGAGGGGAAAAGCTGAGGAAACTCTCCTGTTCTTGTTTCCCGTGGAATTGCATGTCTTGGCGTTTCGCTGCCTCACTGCGCGAGGGTTAGGACTGGACAAATTGAGCTATGACAGTCCTGGAGCCACAACACTGGCACTGGGCTATACTGAACTTAATGTCGGGAAACTATAATGTGTATTATGCTTGGAAATAATTTCTAG